TTTTTTTTTTTTTTTTTTTTTTAAAGTTTTAACAAATACGACCCTGTGGCTACGTTGAGGGAGATCTCAGTGGTCCACACAGCAGTCTCTGAGTGTCAGAATTTTGGAACTGATACTTTCAATCAAGAGGGGCCGGATATGGAACAGGAAATCCTGTTTGATTTTTCACATTATTATCCAAAGAGTACAGAAATTCAAACTGGATTCCTAAAAAAAGTTTTATATATATATAGTTTTTTTTTAAAAAAATGAAAGGTTTAATTACAAAAACCTCTCATTTTTTTTTTTTTTTTTAAAAACAAATCTTTCACCATTTGGTTTAATTTGCAAACCACTGTGGATCCCTCTTCAACCCTGAAGTGGAAAGAAAAAGAAAAACTGCTCTGTATTTCGTTCCGGCCTGTAACACTGTCTGCGCTTTGGAAACTACTGCACCCGCTGACCGTAAACCATGGAAAATAACCAAAAGAAAGAAACCAAAACCAAAACAAAGAAACCCTTTCTGCTTAACCTTCCTTCTGTCCTCGCTTTTGCCATCCACCTTTCAGCAGTCATAAGAGTAACATAATAAAGTAAAATTAAAAAAAAAAAAAGTAAGGCCAGTTTTCCTTTTTATATATAAGTATATATATAAACGATGAGAGGGAGCAGGGTTACACAGAAGACACCAATGATGCATCTGGAACAACAAATGAGCGTGAAGCAGACATTTATAAAAAAGATGAAAAGGAAAATATTTTGGACATGCACCTCGATTTTACGGCCCTCTACCACGGTGCCGTGTAATTTCTCCCTCGCCCTGTCCGCATCGGCACTATTTTCGAAAGTTACGAAACCAAATCCCTGCATGCAGGAGGGAGAAGGGAAAATAACATGCAGGTTATTATTTCAGTCAACGACCACTTTGTAACGTTCTCTCGCTTTAATTTCTATTTCTTGTCCTGGCTTCAGTTCTGTAACATGCAAATTAGAGAAATTATAAGAGTACTAAGAGATGTGCAATAATTAAGCGACAAATGTGAACAAGAGATATATATATATATATATTTTTTTCTTTCTGTCACCAGTTAGCTGTAACCCTTGAGAGAATTCAAAGAAGGATACCAAAAATACCTTTCTAAAATGTCACTACGGAAGAAAATAAATCTAACGAAAAGAAAATGAGATCAAAATAAATGTACAGTGTCTTCACAGAGAATAAAATGGAATAACGAGGAAAGAAAAAGGAACCACTTTCTTGACATGCAAATTAAAAATAAAATAAAAATAAAACGTGTGCACAGAATTCGACGGTGAATGCCAAAACCCTCTAACATTGCCTACAGAGTCATGCCGTGTGGTTTTAAGAACATCTCTTCTTCATGCAATTTTAGGGTTATTCAGATTTGTCAATTCTACAGCCTTTACTTCGTAAAAATAAAAGTTAAAAGCCTAAAAAAAGGAAAGACCTTTTCTTTAAATAAACCTTAAACGCTTCGGTCTAATAAACAAACAAACAAAAAAATCACATGAAATGAACAGAAATAAACTTCAGTTGATTCATAACACAGACAGTTCATGTTTTTATATTAATATTTTCCCACCTCCCCCCCAAAAAACATGCTTTTGAATTTGACAAGTTTTCATACTACTTTGTCAACCAAAAAGAGAAATATGTATATCTATTGTACAGTTCTATCAAAACATTACGTTGGTGTTCATTTGTCATATCGACAGATAGCAAAATAAAGAAGCCTCACTAATAGAACGTAATTTATACCAGCACTCTGGGCGCTGCCTCTCTTCCTGAGAGGTAACAAATTTACCCTTTCCTTCACCACGGGTACATTTTACATTTACTATTTCAGTCTCAAAAAACAATCCCACTAAACTTCATAATTGTCAAAAATCCATCTTGTGTCTTCACTGACACTGTTCCTAAGAGGAGCACAGAAAGCATGACACATTATGTATTTTTAAACCCCCTGAAGATATTTGTACATCTTGTTCAGAAGTATACACCAACCTTTTGAACAGTTCCTGTGTAAATTTGCCCAGAAAAAGCACTTTCTGGTTTTCAAAGTGGGTGAAAGGATGCGATGTTTTGGGACCCCTGCCTGCCTTCAGTAAACCTTCCATCCAGGTAAATGTGGGCTCTCCTCGGGGAAACGGGATATTTGGTTTTACTAATAAGATGTACAGCAATTACACATACTTGGTCGTCACATAATCAACCGGTGCTTGTGCTCGATCCCACATTAGATCTCTATAGTGACCTCTGAACCCATTGGTGTTGCCCAATGAGCTGGCCAAGATAGAACTTTGCAGGGGTCAAGATGGGGTCACCCAATAAGGACGGGAGGGTGGCTGATTATTTGCTGGGATGCTTTATACAGCCATCCCCTGCTATACGCAGATTATTTCTGGACCCCTGCTGAGAACTAAATCCACTCATACCCAAGTCCCACAGTTAGCCCTGTGGAACGCGAATGCACGAACCCCCAGCTCTATGTAGTGGGTTTCGCGTATGGCCGATACTGTATGTGCCATCTGCCTTACATTACATACTACCTTACATCCACATAAGGGGATCCACACAGTTTGAACCCATGTTGTTCAAGGGCCAACTGCATAGAGAAAAATTAACTTTCTTTACATTGGGGGATTGGCCTGAATTACTTTTTCATCCTTCTTCCCACAGTGAGGATCTGTGGTTAGGATATGCCTGAAGTATTTGACTCACAGAAGATTATAGGCTCCATGACAGAAGAGTCCTGCTCGATCCTGCACCCGCCACACAGCACAGGTGCAGACTGGGTACTTGAACAAACTTCCTAAATTAATTATTTGCAAATAATAACTCCTCAAAGACTCAGGGGCTTCTGCTGTATTTAATGGCTCTAACTCTTGGCTGTGGGTCCCAAACTTAGTTGCACATGGGATAGAACTGGGGAGTGTATTAAAGGTTTAGATTGTGGGATCTTCCTTTATTATCTAAGTCCTGGAATGGAGCCCAGAAATCTTCCTAAAAAGCTGTCCATGTTACTGAACAATTAGACTTCCATGACCTTTCACATTACCATGAAATATTCAAAACCATCAAAAAGGTGGTTTACAAGTTTTTTTGTAATAAGTAGACTTTTATTTTGCTGGGTTCTATAGAGTTTTGTGAGGGGACACCCATCTGAACCCATTATTTGGAGCTTAAATGGGCAAGTTCAGCCAAAATCACACGTCCAAGTTTTCTTACCACTATTCTTCTCTTCCCCTAAGGGTTAACGCCCTAGCACCCATGGCCACTACATTCAAAAAGTAATAAGGGAAACTAAAACTCGACTTAATATTCTGTGACCAGGCGAGCAAAGAAAATCGTAGGCCCCGTCCTACAGCTGGAAGGGTAGGTGGCTTCATTTCTGCCTCTGGGGAGGAGCAGTTATGACTACCACAGCCCTGGAAGAACACTCAACCCACCTGTCCAACCTTATCCCAAAGAATCTCGCCCTCATGCGTCACATCTAAACCAGCCCCAGGCAAACTTCAGTACATCAAGGAGAGACAGTCAGAAAGAGCAGAAACTAAAAGAGAAATCACCCCAATCTGTTCTCAAGTTCTCATTTTGTAAAAACAAAAAAGCAAAGATTATTATTAATGTTACTCTCATTTTCTGCTAAACTTCTGTCTTTATTATTAGAATTTTTTTTTTTTTTTTAGCTGCTCCACACTCTCCATTTCAAGCTGCTGAGATGAAGAGTTGAGATGTGTCAAAGTTGGGTTTACAAAGAGCTTGCTCCAGAAACAGCCCTCAAAATGCCAAACAGGCTTCCCTACCTGTTCCTTCGGAAAGTCCACCTCTCACTACAGTTACCACATGGCCCTGGGGAAGCACTTCAAAGGTAACCGTACCGATATGCAGCAAGGAGGTTCCAAGCACTGTTTCTAAGATGAATTCATAACTTTATTGTCTGTCCTCGTAATCTGGACTTGGCTGGAAGAGCATAGGGGCTGGGTGTGACGCTGATGGTGACCCCTTAACAATCACAACTGTATGAAGGGCTGCAGGCTCGGTGCCCATAACACAGTGGTTATGGCACCAGCCACATATGCCATAGGTGGCAGGTTCAACCTGGCCCGGGCCAGCTAAAACAACAATGACAACTGCAACAAAAAATAGCCGGGCAGGCGCCTGTGGTCCCAGCTACTTGGGAGGCTGAGGGAACAGAATTGCTTAAGCCCAGGAGTTAAGGTTGCCGTAAGTTATGACACCACAGCACTCTACCCAGGGTGACATAGTGAGACTCTGTCTCAACAACAATAATAAAACAAAACCCAAGAAGGGTGCAGAGTGGGAGGCCAGAATCCCTCCTCAGGGTTTACCTTCAATACCACCACACCACCAAAGGAAAAAACCTGCACCCGACGCTTTCCTGTGCTGGGGTGATCACTAGGCTAGATAATGGGGTCCCTGACAGTCCTGCCAGCCCAGCATAGATGCTTACGGTGAAATCTTTTTGAGAATCATGAACTCTGGTCCTCCCATAATCCTACTTATTATTCTTTTTTGGGCTTTGGTATTTTTAGATAATATTTTTCCTTTTGCTACATTCATGGAAATATACTACTTTATATTTTCTTTTGGTAAATTGTTTATTATTAACTATTGTGGGTACGTAACCGCTGTCTACCTTTATAGTGTACATGCAATATTCTGATACAGGCATAGCATGTGAGTTGATCAAACCAAGGTAACTGGGGTATCCATCACCTTGGGCACGTAACATTTTTATGTGCCAGGAATATTCCAATTCCACTCTTTGAGTTATTTCATAGTGTACCCTATATCTCCAATAAAGGCTTAAATAGGCTTCAATATACAGCAGCATGGATGGCTGAATGCACAGACTTTTCATTTCACAGAAAAATCAAATCCTCAGTTTTTGGTGCAGAGAGCTCATGTTTATGAGAGGCGAGCTGTTGGTAAGAGTCTGATGACTCATTTCCCTGTGGGACTAAGGTCCTCACTTTTAACTTCCTTCTTGCGACCTTTGTACACACAGCCTCTTCTCCCCGGGAGCCATCCCTCGCTGTCCTCCCAGGGACATTCCTATGGATCTTTCATTCTCAGCTTGAATGACCCTTCTCTCCACCTTCTAAGAATATCAGGTCCTTCGCCTGGACTCCCACAGCCTGTCACATCACAGACTCACTCACGATTGGTTTACCTGAAATGTACAAACACTTACAGACAACTACTGAATCCAAGATCAAACTATATACTATATGTATTTCTTAGGTACACTAAAGAGCAGCTGCACCTGTCTATAGCATCCAAATACATCATTTCAGAGGTAAACAAAATGGTTTTAAATCTCGTAAAAGGAAAAAAAAAGGAATTATAGGATCAGATTGCTTGCCCCCTAAACGCCTTCTAGTTCATTTTTTTTTCAGACAAGAGTCTCACTATATCATTCAGTAGAGTGCTGTGATGTCACAGCTCACAGCAACCTCAAACTCCTGCTCTCAAGCGATTCTCTTGCCTAAGCCTCCCAAGCAGCTGGGACTACAGGCAGCGACCACCACACCCGGCTATTTTTCTGTTGCAGTTGTCATTGTTTAGCTGGGCCCAGGCGGGTTCGAATCCACCAAACCCGGTGCATGTGGCCAGTGCTGTAACCACTGTGCTACGGGCGCCGAGCCCTAGTTCTCAGTTTCAAAATCTGCTGTATCTTTCTACAGTGTGGTATTTCTGTAAACTTGCTATCCATGTAAACATAACATACTTATGTCATGTGTTCTCAGAATAATGTAGACACCTGTGTTTATATGTATAGGGTGTATGCATATGTGTGTGCACACACACACCCCACAGGCACTGGGTGACCTGCTCCCGGGACTGTGCACACACACACCCCACAGGCACTGGGTGACCTGCTCCCGGGACTGTGCACACACAGCCAGAGGGTGAGTTCCCAGCTCTTCCGGGCCCACCATTTCTTGGCTGTGTCTCTCTCCAGCACCAAATGAGGGAAATAAGGTCATAACAGTTAAGGTTTTTTAACCATTGAAATGGAAACGCTCCTCTTTTAGGGAGGCCCTTTCTCAGAAAGGGTAATGTCAAGTATGAAAAATATCCTCGTGTGAGCCTCTGCCCCCATTTAGCATGTCCCAGCTGCACTGTCTGGGTGACATTCGGTGAGACCTAAATGGCTCTAACACCTGCAAGACAAGTTTTTTCAGAGGAGCACACCCACTGAGAGGAGCTATTTTGCGTGTTTCCTAAACTGAAAGGATAAAGGTGAAAAAATAAAAAGCGGCTTCACAAAATCCGACTCTGGATGCAGCAAACTTAGCAAACTTAAATGGTCCTTTTCCCGAAGCCCCCAGAGACAGGCTAATCAGGGGAATGACGGAAGAAGCCTTAAAAATAGCACCACCATTGTACTTTCAAAATAGCAAATGGTATTCTTCTAATGTCCCAAAACAGCTCTCGAAAGGAATTAAATAACTTCCTTCAACTGGCAAAAATTACAAAACAAAATATAAATTAAATATAAACTTATAAAAACAAAAAGAAATCTTTAAAGGCCAGCGCTGCTATAGACGGACTCAGGGTCAGAATGAAGTTGGCCAACATTTGGGTCAACTTCCACAATCTCGCCAGGAGTCCGTCAGACCTGCAGGAACAGGATTAGATGGGCACATTTTCCTCTTGATACACTTTGCTTTGCAGGTATAGAAATAGTCTCTGCCATGCTTCTCGTACGTGAAGCAGAAAGAGCTTGAGAATAACTGTAAAATAGCTGAAGTTATGACGAGGGGCCTGGATGAGCAGAACTGCAGAGTGTAATGGATTGATTTTTTTTTTTTTTATGTTATCTGGCAGATCACAACATCATTTTGGCTGTGGAGGAGAAATCACTGGAATGTTCTTCCCTCAATTCAATCGACATTGCCTTATTCAGGGAGTACATCTACTTAGGAGGGAGGAGGCTGTGGATTGTGAAGAATTAATAAATTCCAATGTTTGTTTCCCGGGGAGGAAGTAGTTCTACACCCAGAGAGCTAAGGACCGGGGTCTGGGATGTTCTAGACAAACTGACTGGTCCCACATGGCCTGTGGAAGGACAGAGATGGGGCCAGCCCAGTCTGTCTCTGTCCTTGACAGGCATTTTCTCTCAAGTTCCACTTTCATAGTCTGAAGAGGGAAGGAGAAGGGAATTTCACATTCCCGGGGGCTCCCAGCAGGGGTGTCAGGGAACAAGGCAGAGATATTCAAAGTGTTCACTTTCTGGTCACCGAGGTCACGATCCCTATACTTGTCCAATGCTCTGGGACCACTCAGCGTCTGCTGATGCACCTAATGTGTTATTTTCTTCAAGGGAGATTCTGAGAGGGCCTTTAAGTTTTCCGTGGGTGAAGCTAGAAAGGGGCGGCAGCAGTGAGAACTAAACTCCAGTGGGCAAAGGGGTATTCTGCACTGAAGTGAAGGTTTGGTATGTGTCTAAAATAGAAAGATATGGTGTTTGGCTTAGAAGCTTGGATAAAACACAGGTGGCGGAGCCCAACTTTCAGAGTTTTTGATTCAATAGACTTGGGTTGGAGCCTGAAAATTTACCTTTTTTTTTGAGACAGTCTCACTCTGTAGCCCGAGTAGAGTGGTGTGGCTTCGTAGCTCACAGCAACCTCAAACTCCTGAGCCATCCCCCTGCCTCAGCCTCCTGATTAGCTGACACTACAGGTGCCTCCCATAATTCCTGGGTATTTCTGTTCTATTTTTAGCAGAGATGAGGTCTTGCTATTGCTCAAGCTGGTCTTGAACTCTGAAGCTCAAGCAATCCTCCTGCCTCAGCCTCCCAAAGTGCTAGGATTACAGGTGTGAGCCACCCTGCCCCGCCAGAACTTATATTCATAATAAGTAGAAACTTATTGGAGGAGGAACTTAACCAGGAGGTGATACTGATGCTCCCGATCTGGGACCACACTTACATAATCTAACCACTGGCAGAGAGGATGCTTTGGAAGGTTTCAGTTTTTGAAGGTGTCTGAAGCTTGCTGTACAGACTTCTATGAGTACGAGGAAAATCTATTTAAAAACTGGTTTCCTAAAACAAACTCAAGGCAATGGGAAATCGCAAAATACAGACTGGCAAACTATACTAATAAATACAGTTCTATTCAAAAGGTTGGTGTATATGTGCTTTTCTCCCCTACAACCCAGGAAAATAACTGCACTTTATTAATACAGAATAATCACATATTTACCTGCTCATGAGACTATCAACTCACTTTTTAATATAAAGAACATAATTATCACTGAAAAACAAAAATGTAGCAACATCATTATTTTTTTAAGCATGGATAATTTTCCCCTGGAAACTTGATAAATACATATATATGTATATAGAAAATTTAAATTATCCCCTCATACATTTTAAACTGAACCCAATGTATTTCCCACCATTTTGAAAACCGGAGATGGTCTCGAAAGGAATTGAAGTGTAGTTTCACAATGTGCTGATTAAAACAGTGCAGTTGTTTCCCCTTATTCAGAACGAACATTTACAAGGAAGCTAAACGATTCTAAAGTGAATTAGGTTGCTTACCTTTGAGCCTCGCTCATTAAAAATAATTTCAACATCTAAGATTTTACCAAATTGCTGCAAAGAAACAGAAATATTTTATAAGCAAGAATTGAAATGGAATAATCGCGTTATGCATGCTGGTAATTGTTTCCCAAGTATGAATATTCTTTTCTCTTTTAATGTCCAGGGATATACATTTTATGTTGTTTGTAACATTAAGTCCTATGCTTTTAATGAGAAAATACAACGTTATATGTTAGTATGTCCATGACACCATTAGGTGAAAGTTCTGTTAGGGTCTAACAGGACATATTAATCAAGAGGTTCATTCTGTTTTTCTTTTTGTTATATGAAGGTTTTTCCAGGCACTAAGCAGCCATTTAAAAATCATTAATACATATAATGATCTTCCTGAACGATTTCACTAGCCACTGGGAGGAAAAAACCTTGGGGAGGTGGGGTTTGTCTCAAAAAGACGTTGCGGACGGTTTGGGCGCCTATCTCACGTAAACCATGAAGAAACAAACAGAAAAGGCAGCTCCACTGACTACCCAGGCACCCAGCATAATCAGGATATCAGCACAGTTGTGATCAGTCCTGAGGCCCAAATGTACTTCTCCCAGGAAGAGTCTCCATATTGTTAAACAAACAAATAGGCTTTAGACAATTGGCAAGAATAGGCCCTATAAAAAGTGTGGAAACAAAGATTCGAATTGCAAATACAACGGATGGCCGCATGAAAGACAGACATAGGCTTAAATCTAATTTTCAGATTTTTCTGGATAATTATGTCTTGTGTAGCATATGGGACATACTTCTACTTAATCAAATAGTTCTCGTTTATCTGAACTGCGAATTCGGCTGTGTCCTATGCATTTGTTTTTAATGTGTTGACTCTGTGAACACAAATCAAGGAATTTTTGATTCGCACTTAAAAAAAAAAAAAAAGATAACGTGGGCTTTGGAACTGGAAGCCTCTGATAAGTCGAAATCCCTTCCTCTGATTTGGGGTTCCCTTCTGTTTTCTTGCACCCCGTGAAGTAAGTGGTGTGGGCATTTACTGTACGGTCACACTGCGTCAGTATAGGGGGCGGGTGATGAAAAAATCATGCGCCGTGGGCCAGGGAAGATGAAAATGAGGATTTCTGAATGTGAATTTTACTTCAATGTAGAATGAAAGCAAATTCCTGCCTTAGTGACTAAAAATCAAACAGAACACATATTAAAATATATCCATCGTCTTTTTCGTTTGTTTTGTTTGGAGCTTTCCGATCACTCCATTTGCTTTTGGGTTTTGGATCTTAATTGCATCTGTTATTACCCTAGGAGATTCCGTATCCTGCCTCCCCCTGCTGGGAGAATTATCAAGCATGCCTCTCGGTGGCAGATGACAGAGCGAGGAGTGTGAGAGGTGGGACTGGGAAAAAAAGGAGTACAGAGAAAGGGGGGTGGCCTGCCTGACCAGAATGCCTCAGTCATAAACTACCAAGAGACCCCCAGAATGAAAGTCCAGGGGTCCTCCTCACATTCAAGAAAAAATTACTTAGAACATATAAAAACTATCTCATGAGACATACAAAGACACCTATCATCCTTGAAAAGAAAGAAAAAAAATACATACCCAAGTTGAACACAAACAGCTCAAAATTTTGATGAAAATAGTTCTGACTATGGGATAAAGTAACCCAAAGCTTGTCATTCCATGCCCAGGACACGTGCCTATTTTTCAGAGTAGGTACCAGAGCACATTGTTGACAGCTTGGGCGTCTAGATCACATGAATGCTAGGGGCGTTAAGATCACATCAGACAAGTAAAGAACAAAGACAAAAGCCGGGGGTCACAGACTTGCATGTTTTCTTATTAAGCAGAAGTACTAATAGTTCTTCACTTCAGAGGGAAGCAGAAGGACAGGAAGAAACCAACAGGGGAGGCCCAACGAGAGAAGAGGGGAGGCAGGACCGAGTGGCAAGCATGGCGGTGGCGCTCCCACAGAACACACGGCCGGCTCGCCCTGCAATTTGTAGACACTCAAATGTTCTTCAGTCAAGCGGACATTCTTTCAAAGGGCATTTTCAGTGTTCTCATTTAGGGCAGAGAAAAATCACTGAAAACAGAAGAAGAAAACTCAGATTTGGGAAATGAAGGATTTTCTGAATTCCTAAATTTCACAGTAAGGAACCCTCCAGCTTTATGGACTCCTCAGAAGCCCTAATTTTAATGCAACCACCTCGGAAGATCCAATCCACACAGATGTTATCATATTTAGTTCAGGCATAAGAGCCCAGAAGCACGTATATTTACGGAAACCATGAGGCAAATGTCATCTATGGAACATTCTCTAAGCAGTCAACACAGAAACCTTCCTTCAGCCATAAGCTCTGGGTGAGACAGAACCAATCAAAAAGCCACCTTAGCACGTGTCACTCCCTAAATGACACAGTGACACCACATACCCTGAAACAATCTCAAAGTTTGCTTCCTTGGAAGTTCCCATTAGGCTGACGGTTCTCAAAGCCAGTAAAACAAGCCCTAAGAAGAATGCTGATGTAAGCCCCATTTCTAAGACAGTTGTGTGCTATATTTATAGTATCAACAGTTTAATTGGGAAGTTTGGTGCTAATGATGCAAACACAGCTGGCACATTTTCAATTTAAATAGACACAACTCGCTCGCAGACATAACGAGCATTTGTTTGCGCAACAGCGATGTTGGGGAGCCTTCAACAGCACCTCACATCTGCACGCCGTGACTCCATCGCTGTATCAAGAAGACACTCCAGAAGTTCACACGCACGCACTTGGACAAATATGTACCAAGCATTTTGAGACATTCTCAGATCAAATAATATTTCTCGGAAAAAAAAATACTGTGAAGGATGTTCAATGGACACAGCATAAAACATGAAAGTAAAGGTTAGTTCAAAGAGTATGTGTTGAGACTAAGAAGAGAGATCAGCCCAGTTTTTCTGAGTGTTGGCTCACGCTGAGAATGTATAAACAGGAAATGCTGTGCTATGTCCCCCAGAGCCGGCTTCACCACTGACAGCGTCGTGCGGGCCAGAACTGTGCAACCTGCCATGGAAGGTCCAGGCAGAGCCCATCTCTGTTCTATTCCTCAAGAGTGATCACGAAAGCTTTGTTCACATGTGCTGAAACTCATGTTATCTGCTTTACACATAATAAAAGAGGGCTTGAGTGGATCACTTTACTGCCCGCCGTGGGGTCTATGTTTTGATAACAAAATCAAGGTTGTGACAGCGAGCACAGAACAGTGCAAATTTGAGCAACTGTGTCTGAAAACAATTCCATGCTGGCATGTGTTATATCCAAGGTCCAGATGTATTACGTATATGTATAACCTACTTCTCTTGCCCCAAAGCCAGAAATCTTTAAAATTTCAATAGTGAGTTAAATTAAACATTCTATCAAGGAGAGATACCTTGCAGTTAATTCTGTGGAAATCCATAGGTACTTTCTTCGGAATATCAAGAAGGAAATGGAAAATGCACACTCAGGCTGTCCCCAACAAGAAGAAGGGCTCAAAGAGAAGGTAGCCAGGGCCAGAAGGGACATCCTTTCCCGTGGGACATCTGGTGTCGATGCCACGGATACTGTAATAAGAGATCTAGTCACTCACATCTCAATGGGTTTTGAAACGTCTCTGGCTTCTGCTTGTATATTGTAGCCACATAACCTCTCGCCCAAAGGAGTGATTCACATTAGGGGAAAAAAAAAATGAAAGAAAGAAAGCAATCTAAGAGAACTAGAAAATTCGCTGTGAAACGCTGGAATCAATACTTCTAAACAGAAGAAAGAAAACAATAGGAAGCTCGTGGTGGAAGAAAGGTAACCAGGATTTCCGTCACAGCCAAGAGGTGCTAAAGCCACAAGTGAAATAAAATGGGAGACCTGTGTGGTCAGATCGGGCAGGCAAGTGGTTCAACCAAGAACCACTGGTGGGTGCAGAGTTGTGAACATGGCCAGGTTTTAGGCAGCTGGAAAAGGGAGGCTGCTTTTTTGTCTTGTTTTGCTTTCGACTTTGAAATCCCATGCCCATATTTAACAGGAGATGAACAGGGAGAAGTACAAAGATCTCTGAGAGTGTTTTTCTCTGTAATCAGCCTCCGGGTGATCCCTGCCACCAGGAGGGGACAAAGGCGGACTGGACTGTACCGCCATAAGGAAAGATGTCGAAGGTCCTAACGACTTGAGAAATGCCTAATCGGAATGAAAATGTAGTCACTTATAGTGACTATGACCTGAAAGAGGAAACCCGGCTGAACTCCCTGTCTCCAGGGTGGGGAGCCATTCGGAAGGTTCACAGATGCCTTTGAATGCGACTCCTGTCACTCAATGTATCGGGTAACAAGAATGGCTTTGCAGTCACTGACATTGGCCAGGAAGAAGAGACATTTAGTGTTTAAATTCATTTTTTCAGAATGGTGGCTATAAACCTAGGATACCCAAGAGTCATTCGAAGGGGTCCAGGAATCCATACAAGCCTGGCATTTTTATTTATTTATTTATTTTTGAAACAGAGTCTCACTATGTCACCCTGGGTAGAGTGCAGCTCACAGCAACCTCAAACTCTTGGGCTTAAGTGATTCTCTTGCCTCAGCTTCCCAGGTAGCTGGGACTACAGGTATCTGCCACAATGCCCGGCTATTTTTTTGGTTGTAGTTATCACTGTTGTTTAGCAGATCCAGGCTGGGTTCGAACCCGACAGCCCTCGTGTATGTGGCCGGTGCCCTAACCACTGAGCACAGGCACCAAGCTAGCCTGGTAATTTTTTTAGACAAAATTCACAGGAAAGTAAACAAACAAAACTTGCAGATTTTAAAAAATGGACACAGACACTGTTTGTGATGAAAAAAATTAACTGTAATGTTACTGAATGTATGCTGGACTCTCTTAATTGGTAGGTGTTAAATGCATGTGTCATCCAGTCAAACCAACATCTTGTCAGTTGCTTGAAAATCTTGACTTTATATAAAAAAGAGCTCTGAAACCAGTAGATTTTGATCAGAGTTTGATACCAGCCAGTACAATATTATGGCAAGATCTTCCCTGTGCCATCTGACCCTGGTTGTAAAAGAAGAGACAGGTTGAGATATTAATGCAAGCAGGACTCTGGCCTGTGATTTCTAGCTGTGAATATTCTGAATACCCCTCTGACTGAGCACTGTAACCCTGGCAACCTTCAAGATAACCAAGAATACCAGGAAGGAGTGAAGAACACCTTAGGGGTGGGAGCTGGGGCGAGCGGCAGAGAGCGGCAGGCGCCGTGTGAAACGGTGCCAAGATGGTCATTAGGGGAACCGAATCCAGAGCTAACATCACAGAGACTGCTGATGAGAAAGGATTGGCTGAGTGGCAAGACGTCTCCCTAACCTGACAGGCCAAAGAGAATAGGACTCCTTTGGCTGCCCATCACTCAAACCTGGTCTTCCTGCTTCACACACACTTAACCTCGACTCCAACTTTGAACGCTCTGCACTTTTCAAAGTCATCCCTGACCTGAAAGTGCCCGAGGGTATCTCTGTTCTGCAAGAGTTGGAGGGCTCGACTCAAGGTTATTACTAAATGAGAGGCAGAAAAGTGCGAGAGCTGACCTTTTCCTCTGAAATGTCAGCATTCAAGTGTGGGTATCTTTTAAATAGGAGGATGCTTGTTCTGCTCCGTGTCAGATGCATACTTGATAAGCATCATGTGTGTAAGAGAAATAAAAGGTGCCAGCTAATCCCCGAATCACAGAGCCCTTGAGTAATGAGCCAAGGTTGCCCCTTTAATGTGGAGAATGATGCCAATGTTGCTCAAAACAACACCTTCAACTTGGTCATTTTCCTTTTCCTTTTTAAAGATTTGCATCCATCCCCAACCTCTTTGAAGTGGAGTCTCCAAGCAGTCCACCTTTGCTCTCAGTCAAGCGTTAAGGATTTAGTTCTTTTTACAGAATCCACATGCACTTGCTATCATCACTGGGATGTCATGGACAAACGGTTTTTTGTAGCTGCAAAAATGAATGATATCCAAACCCTGTCAAAGCTCTGTCCTCTGGTGGAACTGAGCTCAAGAAAATGGTAAACTCATCCCTTCCCAGAGTGGATAGTAAAGATGCCTTCCAAAAAAAGAATCAGGGTCATGGAGACCTGTAAGAAGCAATG